TGGATGGATGGATGGATGGATGGATGGATGGATGGATGGATGGATGGCCAAGTTAATTGATTTAGTCAAACCTTGACAATAACATGTACAATTTTGTTCAATACCATGTGGTTTGTTCAAGTCAATTCAGTTTATTTATACAGCACCAAGTCACAGCAGAAGTCATCTCAGGCCACTGAACAGAAACATTCATATACATAAAAAATAAGTTGGCAGCACTCAGGGTATGTATGTGTATTTATCTCAACTACATCCACATCAAAATTCAGATCATATTCTTGAAAACTGAGTGAGTCAAAGCTGGTTTTGTGTTTTCAAAGACCAGTTAACTGTAGCTGCTATCTTTCTTTTTATTTTTTATATTTTGCTGTTTATGGGTGTAACTGGGACCCTGTGTACATCATTTTGTTCCACCTCATGTACCATATGTGTTGGAAATTACAGTAAAGTTGACTTGGACTTGAAAACAGGTAGAAGACATACATTCTGAAAGTTCTGGTAAAATATATTCAGTGGTTTATGAAATATTTTGCTTACAGACGATGTTGATTCCAATTGTGAATAAAAACATTAGAAACACAGACGTCATTTGATCTTGCAGCTCAGAGAACATTGAACGTAACAATTTGGGGTAAGGTTAGGAAAGCTTCTTTAGCTGTGGCAGCCATCTTGGTTCAGCTCAGTCAGCTGTAGACACACATCCAATAAACTTTAGTGTCTGTTCAATGTATATTACAGATAATAAACACTAAAAATCATGTTTACATGAACCTGCTGTTGCTTCCAAACCAGGCAGGGTTGCCAGATAGGAAAAGAAGAACTGTTGTACAGTCACTTTAAAATTGTATTTTGACCCAAACTATCATGTGTGCTGGGTGAGGTGAGTTTTTATGGAGGGGGGAGGCTGTAAGGTGAGGTGTGTGTTCATGTGAAAAGGAGGGGATCTAAAAAGTATAATTATACTCGGTATCTGGTAACACGGATGCCGGGTTTCAGCATGCTGCTCATGCAGTTGCAGCATAAACAAAGTGGTTATATCCAAAATGGTGAATACATGAATCTTTGTTTGGACCAAGGATTAGATTGGGCCCCTCCTGCATGTTGAAACAGGTGAGCAGCGCTAACAGAACTTTGATGTGAGCTGTAGCTTAGTGTTCTGCTGCTCGTGCAGGCACAGATGACTGCAGCCATGGGTAGACTGAGCAGTGATGTCACACCCCTGCAGATGGTCTCCCAAAAAACATCCGCCCTGAGACCTGGATTCAGAAACCTTAAGCGCTCTTGTCGTGTCCACGATGGCTGAACTGCAGCAGAAAATTTAGTTTCCCTCAAAAATGCTTTGGATAAACTGGGCTTTAAACGGATTGCATGTAATTCTTTGTGTTTTCAGATGCGATCAACTGGCCAGAAGGAGAGGATGCGCCACCCCAGGACTCTCAGGATCTTATCACCTTACTGCTGAGACAGAACCCTCTGGAAAGGATGGGCACAGGTGAGAAGACAAAAGAAGGAAAACAGCAGGTGGTAAGTTATGGCAAGCCCTCAAATCCATGAATAGACACTTTTACAACACTTCCTCACGCAACAAAAGCTGGATTCCACCGTAAAATACGGCGTAAATCCACTTAAAATGCAGCTTTATTACGCTTACCTTCTAAACGCCAAAAATTACATCATTTATTTTGGGCATTGAACGCAGCTTTTTACACATCATGCTGTTATAAACACCGTAATTTTGCCGCAGTTTACACCGTAAGACTGACGGTGAGTGCTGCAGAATACGTGAAATCGGACAAAAAAGAAAAACTTTTCAGGTTTTCTCTTTTCAGCACAGCTGATCTGTGATGAATTAGTGTGGTCTGTAACTGATAAGAAAGCATGGGGAGAGTCTTGCAAAATTTAAGAAAACGCCATCTTTTACAGCGTAAATTGCAGCAAAATTACAGTGTTTATAATGGCAACATGCGCAAAAAGCAGCGTTCAACGCCCAAAATAAACGCCGTAATTTTTGGCGTTTAGAAGATAGGCGTAAAAAAGTGGCGTTTTGAGTGGATTTACGCCGTATTTTACGGCGTAATCTGGCTTTTTTTGTGCGAGGAAACGTTGTAAAAGTGTCGATTTGTGGATTTGAGGGCTTGCCGTAATAATTCTCTGATAACTAAAGGGACAACAGGCAACCTCAGCAGTGCTCATTATTCCAAGGCACTGGGGGACAAAATGAGGTAATCTTGCAGCAGAGCCATTTATTCTGTGATCTACTGACCTTCCTGATTTGATCAATTGCAATTGCTTCTTTATAGTTCATAAAACCAATTTCATGCATGATCAGCCAATGTGAGGCTGTCCAAACTGTGAAAATAACCATGGCCTGGGCCAGAACGCTTTTTAGTCACTTTGACGCAGAGCCTGTTCAGCGTGAAGACAGATGGATGCTTTTGTTCATCTGCTGCAGCTTACAACTGTCTTCTGCTGTTTCTCCTGTCACAAAAAGTCATGCAACGGAAAGTATTAATGATCATTTCTGTTAGGCCTGCAGCCAAAAGGACATTCAAAGAAATGCAACATAATTTATTCACGTTTTTTGTGTTCGTATTCTCTCTGTAATTGTCCAAATAATCTGTTTTTAGGTGGAGCCTCTGAAGTCAAGCAGCACCAGTTTTTTCACAACCTGGACTGGAATGGGCTCCTGAGGCAGAAGGCTGAGTTTATTCCTCAGCTAGAGTCTGAAGATGACACAAGCTACTTTGACAGTAAGTTACCTGTTAGGGGGGGGGGGGGGGGGGGGGGGG